CTCTGTAAACCGCTTAGAGAGGGCTGAAAGCCCTATGAAGCGGTATATAAGTCTAACTGCTATTGCTATTGCTAAATTACAATAGGCATCAAATAATGTGGCTATGTGAGTGTAACACCTTAGCTGCACAAGCTGCATTGAGTGCCGATTTGCTCCCATGTCCAATTCAAGGTGTTGTTGGTGTACTTTAAATCCATCCACGGCATGGAGTCAGGTTACATGCAGAAGGGTCATCTACCCATTATATCAGCCTGACCCACCCAGTCAAGCAGGGAGGTATGTTACAGATAATAAGATATAAAAACATAGCATTGTTTTAAAATAGGGAAGCAAATTTAATTCTATCGATGACTGGCACTGTTTACATTTTTAAAAAAGCAATACATATAAAACTGCATATAAAATAGTGAGTTGTGAGACCAGGGGCTCCTGGGAGATCTCACACTCAGCCTACTCACGCATAGGCCTCAAAATCTCCATTGTTCACAGCCTCTATCAGCTGCTCCGTTATCTTGATTATTTCTTGTTTGCGGGCTAGGTTAAAAGGAAAAAAAAAGAATCAGAGAAGAAAGAAAAATGGGGAAAATTAACAATATGATCAAGAGTGAACACCTTTCATGTCAAGCAGAAAGCAGAAAAATACTGCTTTAACACGCTCCATTCCCACTATTCTTTAGGATCTTAAGGGCAATGTTATTATATCTTGGCTGCAAATATCTGGACCATCACTAGTAGGCAACAAAGAGAAAGAAAACATGCTAGGTCTTTGCTGTCATATAGTGACTGTCTGCAATCCTGATCCTAACCAACGATAGTGATGGAGTTAAACCAGGGAGAACTCAATTCCAAACTCTGGTTGACCTGAAACTCTTTAAGAAACAGTGGACCAATTGTTTGGAAACTGCACAAAATCATTACGAGAGTTAAACTAAGGTAGCATAGGATGAACTTCTTGGAGAAAAGGTGGGTTAATATCAGTAGTAGTATGGATATGGTCCTTCAGAATTTGATGCCACCCTAAAAGAATGTGGGAAAGACTAATCGTGTGTCTAAAACACACAGACTCCCTCAAAAATCAGGTGCACAGATTAGGTGCACCCGGAGACTTCAGCTAGTACAGAACGCGGCCGCGCGAGTGATTGTGGGCGCACCTCGGTTCGC